GCTAATTTAGACTCTGAAGCCAAAGTAAGCATTTAGATGCTTGCAAGAAAGATGCGATACGATTTTAACTAAATACACATTTCAGACACTTCAACAAGCCGGACAAGTCTGGTATCCAGATTCTTCATATAAGACAGCGCAGGCCATTAAAGATTTCGGACGCGAAGAGCTGCCATTGGTTATATTTGCTAATTGGCGTGGTTTCTCCGGCGGCATGAAGGACATGTACGAGCAAGTGCTTAAATTCGGTGCATACATTGTGGATGGCTTGCGTGAATACAAAAAACCGGTCATCATCTATCTACCACCAAATGCAGAGTTGCGTGGTGGTGCCTGGGCCGTCTTGGATTCACTAATTAATCCACGTTACATGGAAACCTATGCAGATCCAGAAGCACGTGGTGGTATTTTGGAGCCGGAGGGCTTAGTCGAAATTAAGTACAAAGAGAAGGATTTATTAAAGACAATTCATCGCTTGGATACTACGACCATTGCAGTGAGTCGACGCGACAAACCGTTTTGTGTATAAACATATATAATATTAAAACTTATTAATTTATTTGCATTTTACAGCTCAAAAAGGAGTTAGAGGAATTAATCTCAGGCGGCGATAAAATCAAAGCCGCTGTGGTTGAGGAAAAACTGAAGACACGCATCTCACAATTGACGCACGTTTACCACACGGTAGCCGTGCACTTTGCCGATTTACATGACACACCCGAACGTATGCTGGAAAAGGAATGTATCAGCGAAATTATACCATGGCGCGATTCTAGACGTTTGCTACATTGGCGCTTGAGACGTTTGCTGCTCGAGGATGCTTACATAAAGAAAATAATGAAGGCGCAAGAGAGCCTTTCGGTGGGTCAAGCCAAACAAATGTTGCGTCGCTGGTTGGTGGAAGATCGTGGTGCCATGGATGTAAGTGCAAAAGAAAAACGCGATAAAATTAACTTTACAACTTTTATTAACGATTGTTACTCTCCAACTAGGCGTATATCTGGGATAAAAACGAGGAGATGGTGCATTGGTATGAGGAACAGAAACGGCCAGACTCGGTTGTCACGAAGAATATAAACGCCGTGAAACAGAATGCGGTAATCTCGAAAATCACCGAAATGCTTGAGGTATTTTTTTACATTGTAACTCATAGTATTTTCCATATGTTTACACTTTCTTTTAAATTATTTCAGGATTGTCCGGATGTCTCGTTAGATGCTGTTGTAAGCATATGCCAAGGTCTCACGCCTATGAACCGCGGCGCTGTGGTGCGCACATTAACACAATTGGAGTTGAATGAGGAGACGACAGCATCAAATACGCAGGGATGATATCGCGCATACTAATTCATATATGTATTTGTTTGTATATCAGATATGCGGTTAAAATGCATTAACTTCCAAATCGTTTATGTGGCCAAATACATGCCTACATACATACTTTACTCATCATCCACAACTTCAACACGCAACGAAGTTTAGTCTCTTACGTAGCAATACGGTACTGTAAATACTTAGATAAGCGTACATAAAATGAGCGACCAACGCCTCGTTATAGCTTCGTCCTGCACACTTCATATGCGCTTTGTTAATACAATTGTTTGTTTTTCTCTAATTTAGTTTATTATTATGTACAATACATTGGCTTTATTACATACTGATTTATTTAATATAAAACGTACATATGTATCTAACTACGGCTTATTTATGTGCTCTTTTACTCTTCCTATTTGTAAGCAAAATAATTACAAAAAATAACTGAAAGTAATAATTCGAATGGCAGCACAATACTATATGACTAGTAACAATTTACATTATATACATAAAATAATACATAAAGAGGAGTGTTCAAACCATGTTTGATATTTACTTTAGAACAGAGTATCTTGTAGCATAATTTTTTTTTTGTTTTTTTTTGAATTGTTAAAAATGTACAAACAGTTATGAAAAATAATTAGAAAGAAAATATAGTAAATAGAAAACTTTTCAAATGCCTACATACTATATTTAGTTGTATAACAATTGTGAATTAACGAACAAAGTGGATGTTAACTATTGTAAAATAAAATAAAGCGAGTTTTAAATTATCCACAGATACTAAAATTATGTCTAGCCTAAGGCTAATTAATATACAATAAATGGAAATATAAATTAGTAAATAAATATGTCGGCATTGAACTTTTTGAATATAACTCATTCTGAAAAAGTAATCGGCACCTTGAACCAAATTTCGAAATCAAGCTTTTATAGCTTATAAGCTGGACTTAATTTCAATCGATCAGTTTGGATGGTAGCTGTATCCTGTTGTGAACCGAGAGCAGCGGGTCTATTCTTTTGGAGAAAAGAACTTGTGAAAATAAATTTACTTACATGGCTGCTGCTGTTATTAAGGCAATGGTGTAGTTGTTTCAACTGCTAAAGTGAATGCTTTTGGCTGAAATATACATAAATTCATTTATTCGATCGGAAGAGCTGAATACTGTAGAAAGAAGTGCCATCTTCTTCTTTCTAGGAGGATGGTTGTTGTTGTTGTAGCGGCAGAAAATATTTTCCTCTTATAATTTTCAGCAATGCTTTTAAGTTTAAAGTCATTGGCCGAATGAAAATGCGGGTCCGTTCCGATGACGTCGTGCAAACAAGAGTTTTATTAATAAGGCTCAAGCCTCAATCAAATTCAAAATCTAGACACTCGAAAGTAAGTTTCGGGCTTTTTATTTATAAAATACATTAAATGAACCACATACAGTAAATTTAGGCACTCAAGCAGTCCAAAATCCTTCAATTACATATATTGAAGATTGTCTATAGAACAGGATTATCCAGAATTACTTGGGACGTAACAAGGTGTATAGTGTGGATTATACACGTATTAATTAACTCAACAAATGAATTGTTCTAAACCGTCATCTAAAATCTAACTAAATATATAACGATGTTACAAGAAAATATTATGCCACTATTATGTATTGGCACCAGCGCAAGTTTAGTATCCGATAGGCAACCGCATACATTATGAGTGGCTAACGGATACCAATCTTTGGAAATTACGTTTACAATCATATACCATTTATCCAAAAAAAAATTTCTTATAATGCAATTATAATGTAACATTGTTCTTCCCAGTTCTTTTATTTTTTATTAAATTAATGTGAAATATAAGGACGTCTCAAAAGAAATTTTAACCCAAAAACAAACATATCTCTTTGAAATTGTCGCGTGTGTATAATATATAAGATATTTCAATTAAATGTATCAGTTCAAAGTATCCAGTGTATTTGTCATCCAGTTCGGCTCAGCCGCGGCGATCTTTTCGATAATGGAGTTTACTTGATAGCATAATGATTGGATTTGGCGATCCCATTGTGGTAGCACCTCACGACTTTCAAAGTGAACAAGACCGGATATTTGATCTATATGGCCGTTCATACGTTCTTCGGTAATCATTTGCGAAGCAATATTTTCAGCCTTTGCAGCGGGTATATCAAGTAATGCGCCTAGCTCTTCGAATGTAATATTATTATATAATTTACTAGCGGAAAGCAAATTATGCTCAAATACAGCGCGATCAAGAATAGATGAACCGTCAACGGTTATAGCTTTTTGATGCGGTTGTAGCAACGCTTCGAATTCTTTTAATTCCGAACGTCTAATTATGCGATCTAAATACATTTTTTCAAGTATAGCATAGGCTGGCAGTTGTTGACAACGTTCATCCTTGAATAGTGTTGCCAACATGCGAGAACGCTGTTGCCCAGCAGATGCTAAAACCGTGCAAATTAAAGCGCTTCTTAATGCATCCATACGATCACTTTCGCTCATCGTTTTACGATAGGACAGTTCATTATACCGTTGTGCAGCCTCTATAAATTTTCGACGATAATCCAAGACATGAGCGTAACACTTTTTGTAAAGCACCTTTAAAAGAAAATTAGATTCGTTATGTTCCTTTGTTTAAATTTAGGTTAAATACTCACCTGTAACTCTTCATCGGTTGTCTCGGTCTGTAACAAGGAGGCCCGATTTATATAAAACTCAGCTTGTGCCGAATCATCATCCTTCAAGTAGAGACTGGCAATTTTTAAATATGTTTTGAGCTTATAACCGACTGGGTATTGCTTTTGCCCAGTCTCTAGAGGTATACCAACCAGCACATTTGCTGCATCTCGCCAAAGCTGATTGCGCTCATAAATATCGGCTAAATGTTGTCGAATTCCGGCTACTTGCTCTTCAAAGGATATCACACGCGGCTGGACCTTCTCCAGCGTAAAATGAGAAACTTGTCGCGAAATTTCATCAGACAATTTACACAAGGAGTTGCTAACATCATTTAGTATTTGCCTTGAAATTACCAAACTGACGTGCTCATTGACTATGGCTTCTACAAAGAGCTTTAGTGTATCCACCAGTTCACTTCCTGTATTATTGAGCACCATTACTAGCAATTGCCGGTACTTGTCTGCTTGCTCTTTGTGTGTGCCAGAAAAATTAGCGAGCGCCATGAGTTGTGTCCGCAGAGCACTTGTACCGATTGACATTTTGTAGAGTTTAATTTTTACTATTACAACCACAAATTGGGCACAAATTAAAAATAGCAACTTATTAATCTATTTACACTAGTTTTCTCCTTGTTTCTGCAATTTGATGTTATCATGCAATTTCTTTACAGATTGACTTCTAACAGGATTGCCACTTGTTGAAAAAAGCTGTATTACCTAAATTTGTGTTACCGGATAAACATTATTTATATTTTAAAATTTCTTGCCTTTTCTGAATTACGTTTCCGGTCCCAATGTTCATTTATTATAAACTTTTTCGGAATAAAATTTGGGAAAAATTTAGAATAGTCAGCCTAAAATTTATCTTATTTACTCAATGAAATATTTAGTTATAAAAGTATTATGAATGTAATTGTGAATTTTGCGAGAAGAGGAAGCATGTGTACTTTGTTTTTGTTATTTTCCTTTTATAAATTAGAACCATTCACAAAGTCAATTAGCTATTGTTCACAGATATGATTACACATTTAAGTCAGCAGGTGTTATAGTGAAAATTTCTGATCAGGTTTATTTAATAACAGCTTATAAATCGTATGGCACAACTATAATACATTAACTAAGTAGTGAAAATAAAGAATTGCCAAAGTTAGCGGCGGATGTGCACTTGGTATGGATTGTATGAATTGAAAATGGATCCATATTCTAGGAGTATTATTTGGAGGACCAATGGCAATATTTGAGAGACCTTTTGGTTATAGACACAAACTCGATGACACACAGGCGATAATTTGCGTAATTGAGACAGCACAGGAAGTCAACGGCCACACGGTAATTAGAAAAGTCAAATTTTCATCCAACGCTTAAACAAATGAATTTCTTCATCTGCTCAGATATATCTGTATGTAACTAGATATGTAGAAGTGTATCAGTCATAGAAAAATCAATATTAAGTGACGCCGTAAGGTGGAAATTTCGGGTGGGGGGTAAACGCAATGCCATGCCAAATAGAATACAGATGATGAATATAAAATTGTACACAACTAAACACACATATTGTAAAATTTGTCTCATCATTCTAGGAGTATTTATTGCGATTGCAGCGTGGCGCAAATAAAGAAAATTGTTGGAAGATTTTGCGTCGCTACAATGATTTCGCTGAGTTGCACAAATGCCTCTGCATATCAGGTATCGATCTGCCCATGCCAGGCAAACGGCTTTTCGGTAATATGCGGCCAGACTTCATAGCTGAAAGAAGACAAGCATTACAGGTTTACATAAATACAGTACTAATGAATCCCATTTTGGCATCGTCATTGCCAGCCAAACGGTTCGTCGATCCGGACAGTTACTCGCAATCCTTTCATGGTAAGTACTTAAATGTCTATACTTCTAAATAATTTATAATTAATTACCTTGGTTGTAATATACACATGCATGCAGACATTCTAGTCCCCTAACATAAGCCGCAAGGGTGTTATTAATTTTAATTAAATATGTGTTATAAAATTACTGTAATGTATTGGGGCGCACCCAATCACGTATGAAATAGCGTGCCATATGAGCGTTTGTAAATACACATGTTATAAATTGTTTGAAGGATTATACACATAAAGGTATCATGCTGCTGAGTATGGAAAATTTAATATATGTGTACGAACATATGTATACCATTGTCTGGTAAACGGAAGTATCTATGTCGCGAGTTTGTGGGGACCTTTGTGTCAACACGAACACGTCATACATGGGTTTCGCCATGTACACACGGATGTGTAACAGTTATGCGCATCTGTTGCTTTCGTAATAATAGACGTATAATAGTCCTTAAAGCATTGTCTCATGCCTTCTAAAAATATGAATTAAAAGTACTTGATGTTAGTATGTCAGAGTTTCATAGATATGTAATCATGTGTATTTCTAGTCTTAAATAGCTATTTAATAGTTCTCTAAAAGTTTGAGTACGTATAGAAAGCATACTAGACAATGCCAACAACATCATTCCTTTTAGATCAAGCAGTGCAAAATGCTATGCTATGTTTACGCAGCGAGGGTGTATGGACATTGGGTACCACACTTGGTCCAATAGGTTGGCGCTTACGAAAACATTACTTCAAAGTTTCACCAAAGCCACCGGAGAAGACTGGAAACAAATTACTCGTGAAAAGTGGCTCACAAACACATCAAGGTAAACATTTTGCCTCATCGAGCAGTAATGGCGGCGGTGGTGGTAGCAGTAGTGGATCAATAGATGGTGGCAGCTTGGATCCTTCTGAATTAGTTTTAGAATGGATCGAATACGGACCCGACAAATATATAGACGAAAAGGAAATGGGTGGCATACTAAAGAGTCTGTTGGGCTTACAGCATCCGCATATCGAGCCAATCGTTTACGCGGCACACAACGAGAATGGCTGCATAGCTGTGCGTAGGTAAGTCACAAAATCCAAAATGCTATTTAATTGTTCATAACATATAAATACAATGTCATCTTTAACAGATTTTACAAACAAGGCACACTGAAGGATATACTTTGTATGGCAACGCCAAAAAATCCATTCCTTAGCAAGTACGGCAATCCTAAGGGCAGAACGGCATTAACAATGAAACAAGTCGCGATCTATGGACGTCAAATACTGGAGGCTTTAATATTTATACATTCAAAAGGATATCCATATGGTAAAGCTATGTTTAGCGAAGACTTGTATAAGTAATTTCTAACATATCTCATAACCCACAGGTCACTTACATGCTGGTAATATTGTGATTGTTGATGATTGCGTTAAATTATTGGACATCGAGAATTACGTTTTGGGTGTACCCGCCTTCTATCGGCCTTTCTTTGTGCAGCATAGTAAAATCCACTCAGTGGAAGCTATAGATGTATACAGCTTTGGGCATGTGCTGTTCGAAATGGCAATGGGCTATCCACTACAGGAATCGGTAGTGCGTCAAATTAACGAATGTCCCGAATCCTTAAGTAATTTGACTGGAAATCGTAGCTAATTTGCGTATTTTTAATATGTATTTAAACTTTCTATAGAGAACCTATTGGAGAGTATATTGTCAAAAGAGGCGGTTAGAGCTGGTTTACCATCACTACAACAACTCATCAGTCACCATTTCTTTGCGCAACATGCTAGTAGTGCTGCTGGCGGTTTTAGTTGTTGCAATGAGGATTCACGGAGAACGCATTTCAAATTGTCGCTTAACGCCAAGGAATTCCTAAAGCAAGCTGCGCTGAAAGCTGAGTTAAGACTGCGGGAAGAACAAAAATCGGTTAAAAATCAAAAGCGCATTGTGCGTGTGCAGGAGATGATGAGCTCCGAGGAGGAAAAACGCAAATCGAAACAAAGAGCGGTATATATATATATATTTTTTTTTTTTTTGCAATAAATTAAAATTATATTTATATTTATTTATTAGAAACTTGAGCATAAACAGTCAAAACTGAAACAACAAGGTTCGTTGCAAGCGGGCAACGGGCGTTTGTCACTTTCCGCAGCTAGTGGATCGGCAGCGCTTAGCACATTTGTTGGTGGTATGGCACCATTCGAGCGCACGGACAGTGTATTAAGTATGCATATGCCAAGGGAGGTAAATGCAGCGCCCTCTTCCTCTAACACGGACATAAAATGTGAGTAAAGTGCATTACAACCGTTTTTAGGCAAAAATAATTTCGTTTTCTTTAGCTCCACCACCAACACCGTTCGTGCAACATAATGCACTAAAACAGCAGCAGGAGCAGCAACATTCTGCCACAAAGCAAATAACGTTTTTGGCAAATGTCGAACGGCAAGCATCAACACCAAATATTTCCACAGACACCGAGCAAAGCGGTGATCTAACACGCTCGGCACTCCTGGAGTCGATTTGTAAATTTAATCGTGGCTCTCTGCGTAAAGTGCGCTCTAATGACTAGAAATAAGTAAACAGATTATTTAGTATCTAGCATATAAGAATTAAGACAACTATAACTATGTATGTTATAAAGAGTGGTGAAGAGGATAACAGCCAAATGTTCTTTTTCATATTGTTTCATGCACAATAATTCCAGCCAAATTCAATCACCACCTCCAGAATAAAAGCTTTTATAATATAACAAACACACTTTCTAAAATGCAGCATCTAAATTTGATATCAAATAAATATAGTAACACAAAGTAAACAATAAATAACACACATATATGAATTTTACACATACTAGTATCGATGTTAACGTACATACATATATGTAATTTAAACTAAAGTAAGAGAATGCAACACCTGTTTAATGTAATTAATCCACACTGTACTTCACCAAATATGTAAACAAAATAGAGATTAATACTAGAGGAATTCGTATAAAAATATAGTCTATACATATGTACGTACATTAAGTGTGGTGTTGTGTTTGTAAACAAAGCGTACATCTACGCTTTCTACATATTTATCACAATTAATCAAGAGCCATAAAAATATGTATTAAATATTAGTGATTTGTTGCTTGTTATTACATTTTTTTTTTTTTGTTTTATTAAATAATGCTAAATGAAAGCAGAATAATTATTTTTGCAAAAAATTTATTTGCGAAATTTATAGTATTCTTTTTTTGTTGATACTTTGAAAGACTTAACAAAAGTTTGCAGCTTTTACTTAAATCTGAAAAATCATTCCAAAAATGATATTTGTGTTTAAAATTCTCCTCGAAATAGTACACAATTTGCTTCTTGTATCATGTTAAATATTATTGTTTTTGTCAAATATGATTTTGTATACTTTACATACTCTTCTGAGACCAACTTTATTATTTCTAATCATAAGTATAATTTTCTTCAACATTGTATTCTCGAAACTGAAACGAAATTTGTACATGCATATATATTATAATAGAAGAAACACACAGTTCCTTTATAAACAACAAATTTTGAAACACAAAAAATGTGTATTATTTTCTTATCTCGCCATTCAAATACGCAGATTTTTCGTAATGATTATTATCTGTCAAATTTGTGGAAGATTTTTTGTTCACTTTTGATTGTTAATTTCAACAACTTAGCCTATTTTTGGGCACATTTTCACCAATTCGACCCGCTTTTCGTTGCGGTTCGAAAATTCAGTATTTTTAGATCGAAGAAAAATATATATTTTTTTAATATTTATGTCATTTTATAAATTTTTTTTTTAATTTTATTAAAATATTTATATAGTTGTATTACATTTTCTTTTTTAATTTTATTGATTTTTTTTTAATTTTAGTACTTTTTTTAACTTAATTATTATTATTTTGGATCACAAATTTTTTTTGTAATTTTATTAATTAAAAAAAAATTTTAATTTTATTAATTTTTTTATGGTATCATAAATATTTTATTTTTACTTTACCCACTTTTAACCCTCTTAATATAACACCAAAATCCCTTTAATTTCATAATTTTCTTTAAACAATTGTTCAGAAATTCACCACACAAAACATGAGCACAATTTTACTAAAATAATATATACTAGTATTAGCACAAACTAATAGCTTTGAGAATCAAAAATATTCACCACATATTAGGCGCATTAGGTGCCGCTCGTTAGATGCATCTCTCACTACTCACCACGACACCTGTAACACAAACCTATAGATACCTATAAAATAGTAATATAACGATTAAGCACGCAAAAACGCACTTTAGTATACATATATTTAACTACATACAAGCATAAAAAACCTGCAAAATCAAATCAACATGCACAAAATATTCAACCAAAAGGTTTTTGATATTATTTATCAAATCAAAATCATGAAATATATAAATCTCTTGAATGTCTTACAAAAAATACTAACGTGATATGAATTAGCATATTGAACGCTATACTGGAAAAATAATTAATGTAAATATGTCTACAAAATTATCGACTTAATTTAGTGAAATTTACAACTACATATTACTCAGCGCTTTTAGCCCAAAGTCATATTTCAAAAACATTTTTTAGGTGCGTGCCACAACAAAAACATTGTTGTTGTGGTATGGCTGGCATTTGAAACTAAGCAACGTAATGTGTATTTGTCTATATTCATTTAGGAACTCAATTTAATTTTTTTTATTTATTTTTATTTATTACTTACTTTTATACTATGGATTATTCATAATAGACCACGGCTGGCAGTGCAATTCGTAAAATTTAATCTATACCCTGAACAGGGTGTATTAAGTTTGTAACACCTAGAAGGAAACGTTGGCGACCATACAGGACTATATCTATATATGAACAGCGTGTCGAGCTGAGTCAGTTTAGTCTTGACCGTCTGTATATACATACGTGTACCAGGTCCGCAGTGTTTGAGATATCGATTTGAAATTTTGCTCATGTCCTTTTCTTCCCAAGAGGCTGCATATTTGACGGACCCGCGTTTATCGGACCGTTATAGCATATAGCTGTCATACAAACTGTACGATCGGTGTCAACTACCTGTTTGGACGTTTGACGAGATATCTTCACGAAATTTGACGTGGGCTATATCTAAGTCAATAATGCAATCCCCAAGAAATCTTTCAGATCGGATCTCTATTGCATATGGCTGCCATACAAACCAAATGATCGAAATTAAGTTTTTATAAGGAATATTTGGTATTTGTGAAGGTTATTAAAACTTTGCTGCAGCCGAAGTACTTGTCCACTTTTTGACTATTTGTTTTTTTTTATAATTTCGTTATGGCAACATTTTTTTTTTATTATTTGTTTTTTTATTTATATTAAATAACTATTTTTTTTTAATTTAATATATAATATCTTTTGGTTAAAAAAGTACCAACTATTTTGTTTTCAGTTAAAATTTTTCTCTTCAATTATGTTGCTTGGTGTTGCAAATAACCGAACTGATTTTTTATAATACTATAAAATAATAGCTGAAATTAATTACCTTTGCTAATTTTTTTAAAGACTTTTCGAAGTAATGCATATAATATAAATCCAACTATTTACAAGTCCAATTCAGTGTTGGCGCAATTATATATATACTATATTCTCTAAGTAGTTATTATATGTGTGTGCATATATTTCTGTATTACTGCACCTAAATGTCGGACATTAGAAAAAAAGTAATTATTTATTTTTTAAGGAAAAATTGTGTGTTAAAAACTCTATATATATACCTACATTTTATAACAATTTTAAACATGTTTTTATTATATCTAACCTCAAATTTGAAAGAAACCTTTTGTATTTAATTTGAATAATTTGTTATAACACCCAGCTGATTTTAAAATATATTGAGGCTTTTGTTCTTGTTGTAGCGGTATGGCACCGAGTTGACAGTTCTTGACCGGATAACAATCTAGGTTCGTTCTGGTTACTTAGACCCGACTGTCATGGGAACTTGTATTGAGACTTACGTACTGATCAAGTGCTGTTACTTCAGCGATGTTGGCGGAGTGTAATACTGCTAGAATTGCAACAACAACAACAACAACTTAATCGTCTTTTGCATCAGCAATCAAAAATCAGTATTGAGATCTATGTAACGGGAATGGACATGCATCTTTGTGCTGCCTCTGTAGCATTGTATTTAAGAAATGTTTAAAGTTTTTACAAGAACAAAAGGAAATTGCGAACTCTACATTTCAGTGAGTTTTCTATGCTGATCTTATGGCCCTGATCAATATAATTTTATTAAGACTTACCGATCTAAAGGGGATTAAATCTCCGGTATAACAGCCCTTGGCCGGATGTAATCCGAGTTATTTCGGTGACGTAGAACCAGCTGTTGTTGGAATTGAATATATAATTTTGTAATATAATTTTATTCATTCAAGGCTATTTGTTGAACAAATTACCGCTTTGTAAAATATATAAGTCAAAATTTTCTTTTTTATGCCAAATTAAAATTTGTGACCTAAAACTTTCCGTAAAAGAATGAACTTAGCTTGAAAAAGATATACGTGCAACTATCAGTAATTACAATCGCGATTCGCAATCGTTCAATCAACACATTTCAGTTCACCAATGTGCCAACACTGTCAAAATCTATGTATGTATGTGTCGATTATCCCGAACAATCACAATCAGATAACTAACTTTCTCTACCAGTTCGGTATGCACTTATGAATTACTACTAATTATAAATAAAAATTAAAATAATTATATGTATGTATATGTGTGTGTTTTAGCATATGTATGTATGTCCTCGAAGACAAGTCTTATACCTAAAATTAACTAGTGATAAATAATAACATATTAAAGTATATGAAGTATGAAAATATACATATGTAAAAGTAAATTTAGGTATTTACATAGATAAAAATTCATTAATGTGTATCAAAATTAAGTAACAGTAAATATGTATAGCAAAATTTTGTGTAATAGTATTTAATTTTCGCAAACGAATACTAAGTCCTAAGAGCTTTATTATACTCATACATGCATACATATATACATATGTTTGTATGCAAGCAAATTTACTGTATATTTGTAATCATGATGATGCCGAGTTGAGGTTGACGTGGTCAAAAGCTTGATTGTTTACAAATAAAAACTTATTTTTGATTTTGTTTTTTATACTTATATACATACAAACAAATATTTTCGTAATTCTTGTATTGTTGTAATAGCATAATAGTTGTTTTAAATGTCCCTTTGTAATAAGTATTTATATGTGTATGTATGAAAGTGCATAAACTTCTATGTTTATGTGTTTGTACTTTATACCTGAAATCATCAATTTGCATAAGTCTTATGTCGTATTGTAATTAAATGTATGTATGTATCTAATATGTACATACATACATACTAGCATATATATAATTGCATATAGTATATTTAGCATATATATACACCTATATATATCCATATATACATATATATGTATGTATATACTCACATATATAATATTTCTACAAAAGTGTCGTAAATGGATTTTTGACTGTGTATATGTATACTATATAAAAATAAATCAAATAAAAAATATTGCAACACACAAATAACTAGTGTTTATGTACAAATCGTGAAGGTTATCAGAATTTAACATTTAATGTAAAATTGATTTTTATTTTTAATTCCAGAGGTAAGTATTTTAATTAAAGCCGCTGTGTCTGAATTTAGTATCCCCGTGAAAAGCTGACACCAAAAGCTCCGTCAGGGTCGGGAAGGACCTCTCCAAGGAGGAGGTCACTTCCTTTCTTGCGACTTCTTCAATCTATTGCTGGAGATAACAATACTAGCTGTAGAGCTTATTAGGAGAATGTGCAATCTTCTATGAGAGTGTGCAGCTGCTGACGTACGCCGATGATATTGATATCAATGGCCTCAACAACCGCGCGGTTAGTTCTGCTTTCTCCACACTGGATAAGGAAGTGAAGCAAATGGGTCTGCTCGTGAATGAGGGCAAGACAAAATATCTCCTATCATTGAACTCGCGAATTATCTCCCATGTCACTGTTGACAGTCATAGCTTCAAAGTTGTAGATAATTTCGTCTATTTTGGAACCAGAATTAACACCAACAAAAAAAAATTAAATTCGGGGAAGTTGGAAAAAAGTTACGGCTGTTCAGAAATGAGTGAAAATAATGAAGAAATTCGCAAACATTTCGAAATTTTTGTATAAAAAGAAAGAGAAAAATGCCATGCAAGCCACCAATGAAATTTAAAGGAAGCTTACGGAGACAATGCTGTATCAGTTCGTGTAGTACAACAATGGTTCGCTCGCTTCCTTTCTACAAATGTCGAAATTTCGATTTACACTGATGGAATAATGTCTCTTGCGGAAAAATGGCAAAAAGTTGTCGACCAAAATGGTACATATTTGTTGATTTATTTTTTAGTATACATATATAGTAGTATTCAATTAACAAAATAATGAACAAAACTATTCCCGATGATATGTTCTGTTAGATAGCCTTAAATAAAAAATGTTTATTCTGAGTGAAGCTGTTTTGGGCAACTTTTGTAAAAGCATTCTTCAACACTAATTTGATCAGAAACTAATGGCATATTCTCATTCAATTGCTTTTATTTTTTCTTGTTCTAATTTTTTGATATTTTTGTCTTCTGGAAACAAAACTCTTTCTAGCATTAACTTCAATATAATTTTCAATTTTGAATATTTTAATATATTATACATTTTTTGGACATTATGGATGTCGGTGGAGAGGTACGTATGGCTGTTTATATAGGCAACAGTTGTATATGTATATAAATATACGCGTCACTTAAGGTTTTATAATGGAAAAATTTAGAGATCAGAGAGATTTTTATTGAAATGAAATGGAGTTCGGGGCATCATACACGAGAATCGTAGAAGTCCGAGGAAATCGGGTTTCCTTAAGTGGAATGAAGTTGTATTTTATATCAAGAGTCGTGCATCCTCCTCTATGATATGTAGACGAAATATTAATGGTATTTGATATCCCGTAAGAATTGTTCAAAAAACGCCTTTCTATATTTCATGTAGTACCGTCAGTTTTTAGTGGGTTTCACTAATATGTACGGTATTATTTAAATCTACCATATCTATGCATATCTATGTATATACATACTTACATTAAAAGTTTGTAGTTAATTTGTAACCGCGGGCGTGTAGTGGATAATAATAATTTCTGATAAAGGTCGTCTTTCAGAAATCTACCAAATCTTCCAATATTACTTTGGACGTCTCATAATCTCTAAGGCTGCTTTATTTGTAGTAAACCTCAATACGTTGTACAAAGAGATGGATAACCTTGGCCAAGCAACTGCCACGGTATATACATACATATGTGGCAAATTAATTGTCTCTATGGTTTTTTCCGTACCCACGCAACATGTTACGTAAGGTATAATAGCTATATTCAACTAACAACATGGTACAAAAGCAGATCGTTATAGGTTGTTTTTATAATAACATCCGTCCGTAGACACACAAATCTCTCGGTATAAGCAATATTTATGTACATATAAAAATGTCCATGTTCCATATAACGCAATTCCAAAATTATCGTAATATACTCGGTCTTTGCCAAACTTTGGACCATGCATTAAATCCATATTTATATCTAGCTCTAGCTTACCATACAGCGAATATAGAGATTTCCGTCGATTCAGTCAACTTATTATGGATAAAAAGTAAAATATTTTAATGCAATTAATTCGCGTATTACACCGTTAGCTAAACACCTCAGGGTACATTACCAAAGAATGTACACAATCGATCCATAACTTTATCTAATAACTTGTGCCGTGATCCAATGTTATATTGTTTTGTTAGAGATTTCCACAGTCATCCCAAAGACTTCCACTATTCTTTAATCTGCTTCATACATAATTCATAAGTTCGATTCCGTCCGTAATTTTACTTTCTTACCTGTTGAAATTCAAATTAGTTGATTACGCCCAACCACAATAATGCTCATAAGGAAATATGCATACATATGTATTTACATAAATTTTTATCGCTTTTACTGTATGCACATACAAACATAACATTTTATTTACGTCATATCGATTTAACATTTGGCCAAAGTCGCAAATCAGGTCAAGATGTGATTGCACTCCTTTAGTTCTTAATGGCAGAGAATTGGTCTAACCTCGTAAACTTGTGTCTAGGTCAGGCACGCGAAGAGGTAGAAAATCGTGCACTCATAATTCTCAAATTGACAATTTACATTTGCATTCCCAAAATAACTCGTATCAATAAACGACGGCAATAAATTTAATTCAATTTGTTATTTTTGTGTGTGAGAGTGTCTGTTTATATTAGTATTAATGTGGTGTAAGAGTGTATACATTCAGATTGTCAAATTTGGATTAATATTACTAATAATGAATGGCAGTAGGTGTAATTGCCATTAATCAAACAATCAACACAACATAAACAGCAAAATGGCTATGCGCGTCTAACACGCAGCCTTAAACGTCAATTAATTTACCATTTAGTTATGCGTAACTAAGCAGCGGCTCTCTCCCGTTTATATGTTTATTTTACTTAAGGAAATTCATTTTCGTTTGTCTGTAATAATTTCTAAATGAAAATGTATCAACTTTGCAGCGACGTGGTTCCCTCAAATCGGCGACTGGACGTAGATTAAGTGCGGCATTCACAGTTCCTCAAGCGCGGGTAAGACGATGCCTTTGTCACAGCAAAGCAGCAGTGTAAACTCACCACTATCTATGTGTTTGCAGCCAGTTTTGAAGTATTTGCCCACATATCGTCTGGAACCAAAGTATCCGCTAAATAAAGAAGTATGCGAGAAAATTATGCGCACCGTGATGGACAATGCATTCGAAAATTTTATGTATTCGCCCAAAACGTCACTAACATTGTGTGCACAAATCAGCGAAGAGATTAAGAATCGCATTAAAGCGCAACACTTTGATCGGTACGTACTGGGAAATTGGAAAAAAATAATCTCTGAATAGTCGCATGTGTTAACGCACTGTCCTCTATATGTTTGCCTTTTAAAGTTCCAAGAGGGAATAGTTTGTTTATTATTACTAAAATGCCTATATCCCGTCAAGCACTTCCTGAAAGATTAAACATCGATTTCACGTGTATTTTATCTAAAAACCGGAGCAGGCACCGAGATACATATGTATATAACACATGCATACAGGAGTTTATTCTCAGTAACTAGTATTTAGTTAATGTGTCATGTAGTTAGAACAACAAATATTCAGTTCTAGATTTATACAAAGATATGAACATCTTTAATATTTTTCTTATAACTTGCGTTCAAATTTGATACTTTCATAGAATTAAGTAGAATATATGTATAAACTACCCAGATGCATACATATGTATTTTTACATATACTAATACTTATTACACAAAATATTTTTGTGGTAGCGTTAGTGTATGTATTCTCAAATCGTCGGTGTAGTCAATGATCGTCCACATATTAAACCGGAGTGCTTTGGAAATATAGACGCCACTATCCTGGGAACGGTCCCGGTTTATCGAGTAAACCATCCAAGTTATTAATTAGTATGTTTCTAATTAGCATCTACAGGTATACAGGTTTTTTTTCGTTTCACCGCAAATACCTAGTCATCTTGCTAGGTTTTTTTTAAGTACTTTTCGAACCAATATACTATATGTACATATATGACCCAAGATATGTATATGTAACCGTAATTATAAAATTAAACATTTTTTATTATTTCAGTTACCGTTACATTTGTGTCGTGTCCATTGGTGAAAAGGTAATGCAAGGATACTGTTCGCTGGTAAATTTTCTTTGGGATGCAGAAAAGGATGGTTATATTTCCTACGTTTATGATACACCAAAATTTTTCGGTATCGCCACACTATACTACCTTTATTATGATTAGCTCCAATGCGATGAGATTTTAAGGAAATGTCATGCATATATTAGATAAATGTTATTATTCAGAAATAAAAAAAAATTTTTTGCAAATCTTGATATCGAAAAGTGTATTTATAACATCGGCGATGGAAATATTAATATGAGTTATAGTATTTACAATATGAATTTAGTTGCAGATACTATCTAGTTATTTAAGGCCCCATAAATTATAGTTTCAGGTTTGTATATGGTGCAATCTGAACCGTTTCCTTGGATATTAATCTGTGGCAAATTCGTGAAAATATCTCGCACCATTCCCACTACAATAGGGTCAACGTATAGGGAACTGACCCGGATTTTTATCCGGACATGGGCTGTCAACTCGGCAGAATTCTGTCCCTACAACAACAACAGATATTTCGCTAAATAAATAAGTATTCCATATAAGGACTGGCATTTAATCGGTCAGTTTGTAACGCAGCTATATGCTATCGTGGTCCGCTCTAAATAATCTCTTTGGATACTGTATCGTTGGGCAATAATCTGTGCCATATTTCGTGAAGATATCTTGTCAAATAAAAAATTGTTACATACATATATTTTATTGGGTATCCGACGATTCATCGGAGTGTTACAAAAGTCTTGTCAAGCTTAATAGACATTGTTCAGAGTATAATTATCTATTGAGTTGTGCATTGAATGAAGTTACTAAATTAACTTTAAATTTGACGAAATTATGCAGTATTGGTAATAGGTCAATAGACTTATTACATCGACTTTGAAATGATTATTAGTATATTCTAACATTCGATATCTTACATGTTGTGCATATATGTAGGTATATATGGTGGCAGAATAGCTTGTATATTTGACTTACCTACGATATTGCTTCAGTGTTTACATACTTGGTATTTGAGGAAAAACTTTTCGTTTTCAGAGAAGACACAACACTATCACAGTAATAACACAAACATATTTGATAATTATGGTTTATTTGATTAAGTTTTACGTAAGAGAGTATATCTTTATTAATATTACAATTTATGCACTTTCCAATTCATTTTACTTTTTCATAAACGACTTTTATGTATTTACTTACAAGCATGCCATTAAAATTGTTTAATTGTATATGCAAATCGATAACTTCGAAATCAATCATTTACACACGGGAAAAATTAAATATTCAAAAATTTAAAAATATTATGCAACTCATATATTTCTGTTTCACCTGGCAAACTCATATTTGTAAACGTGGCTCTTTTAAGATTAGTGTGCAGTGATAGCAAATTCACAACAATAATAAATAAGACAGTATTAGACGTCCGTGCGCAAATTTAAGAAAACAATGTAGCATTCGAAAAAACCCTTTATATGTAGCAAAATATTTTAACCAAATGCTACACCTGGTTCTCTTAGCATGGCTTCGAAAAACATTTACTACACCCACAGACATTAGAGAGAGTTGACACAAGAGGTCACAATCGGACGCACTTTCGTTTGTTTGGCACTCGCGTCATTGTGTCAGCGACAAACATGTATTTATTCGCAACTGAAATTGTATATTTAGGCATTGAACCACTGAATTAATTATGCCATACAATACCGCCGTTAGAAATAGTTTTAATGCAGTTAGAGAAGTTTTAACTACTTTTGATTGTACCACCAAACAGCAGCCTTAGCAATATTAAACAATTCAAATATAGAACAAGAGAAACCGCTCCTCATATACTCGCATTGAATTTTTCCCACATATTTATATTTAAGGAGACTTCACTTTCAGGGAGCTATTAGTTAGTTTAGCCAATTTTAATTTTGGAAAATTTTCCACAAAACACCCACATCACACCACACCAGCAATTCGAACAAATTACACTTTTAACCACCTTTGAATTGCATCTTAACTGCACTGAAATTACGGCGCTAAAGGGGGCGAACTGCACTAGTTGTGGACTGAACTGAACCATTCTTTGATATGGATAATATTGAACTTTCACTTTCTTCTGACAATTTTTTGTGTTTCATTAAACAAAAACAATATTTCTAATCAAATTAAACAATTGACCATACATGGTAGGTATTTTTCTTACATACAATATGTAAAAAACACAAATTCAAATAAAATAAAATAACACAAACAAATTTCTCAGTGATCAACTTTGATTTAAAAAAAATACACTTGCTGGAGAATAAAGCTCATCACTACTAAATAGCCACAATGCCACAACGCCACACTGCATCACCAAAATCAAACTTTGTTAAAAGCTATAATTTTTGTTCACTACGCGTACAAAATTAAATTAGGTAATTTTTTTCTTTGTATAAACATACCACAATTTTTTGTTCATTTTATACAATTTTCTTTTTGTTTGAATCTCATCTTTACACAAAAATTAAGTAAGCTTGAAACAGTTTTCAAAAATTATAATTATAAGCATAAATCTGTTGCGTTTAGAAGTTATCATAAACGATCAAATTAAACTTCACAAAATTTCCACAGCAACTTATTCACTTTTTTAACTAAATCATGAACATTTTTATAAAGTATTATAAATTTGTATAAGTGCTTACCTACTTACTAAACTAGTTGATTGTTTGAAACTCTGTTATAAATATGTGGCAAAATGAAGTGCTTTGATAAAGTTGATCTGTAGCATAAGAAGTATGCGTCAAAATACTACAGACTAATTTAAGCGAATAAAATATTAAGACCCAAAAATAGTACATAAATATAATTCAATTTTTAATTTTAAGTTTAGAGTTTTAAAAACCTCTAATTCATTTAAATAAATTTATATACTTTTATCAGTTCCAAATAAACTGACAGACTTCTGGCCTAATAAGACTGCTTAGCCATTCAGAGGTCTGAACTTTTTATTCGCTTTCTATAAAATGAATATGTTGTTGTAGAATCAATACAGCGAACTTATTGTTATTCAAAATTTGATGTTTAATTGCTTCAACCTTAACTCTTCGGTATTATTTAAATATCACTACCGACGCGTCCATATTCACTATTTTAGCGCACTCAAAGTGATTTACAATTAATAAAAAATCGGCGAAGGACTACGCGTTATCGATTTTAAGCAGTTCCACCTCTTACAACTACTACCACAAGATGATCTTCCTTTAGACCCTCTTCAGTTACACTCTGGCATGTACGCTTCAGTAGTTCCGTAGAAAAGTCACATGGTGGGAAAGCGTATAGCACTCCAGTGGCTTCAGTATCTTTGTTCAACAGTGAGATAACACCGGCAGCTTCCTTTTGCTTTAAATACGACACTAAATTACGTAGTGGACGCGTTTGTACGCTGCTATCCTCCAGAGTGGTTGCAGCTGATGAAGCTAAACCTAAAAATATTGCATGGGACAATGACGAGCTTATGCGTTTTTGAACATCCTCTAATTTTGGTGGATCGAGACGCAAACGCTGCGTAATACGCAAGTTATGTTTTCCTTCCTCGTCGCGCATTAAGGAGTCGACAATGTCGCCGTCTCCATCCGTCATATGGAATTTAGCCGGGAATAGTGAACTCTTTAATATGAGTGCACCTTGCCATACAACAGTGCACTTACGGGAAATATCAGGCAAAGTACGTGCTGTACTCAATGCACCGTTTCGACGTGAAGAAGAATCCGAGTCCGACTCGGGTGAATGTGCGCGTTTGTGAGGAGAGCGTGAACGTGAACGATCAGCACCGGGTTCACGTGAACCAGAACGTGCCCGCTCATATGAATCGCCTGGCGGACGACGCCATTCATCTTCAGCTCCAGCAGGTGGTGGCATCGACGACGTAGAACTGCCATGAATCGGACGATGCACATCATTATGGTAGACATGGTATGAGCCACGTCCACGACCGCGGTAACCACCGCGACCCCTATAACCACCTCGTGGTGGATAAGGTGCATACCCACCTCGTGGAGCATAATGTGGTGTCTCTTCATAATGATAGTCATACTCTGGACGCCTATATTCAGGTGCCTCATCATAGCTCTTTGATTTAAATGGTGCAGCTGGAGTGGTTCCAGGTAATTCAGCAAAATCAGTACGCAAACGACGCTCGGGTCCACCCAAAGGAAAACCGCGCATTTCTTTCACTGCAGCAGAGGCTGCCTCGATGGTTTCATATTGTATATATGCACATGTCTCGCCTTTTTGATATTCTATTTTCTTTATGACACCAAAACGATCAAATTCCCGTTCCAATTGGGTAACAGAAGTCCAAGCACCTAAACCACCGATCCATATACGAGTAGCTGGTGTTACTTTACCATAACCAATCTTGCATTGGAACTTTCCAATATATTGACCGGAAAGCTCTATTTTAGCACGATGTGCCATGTCTAGATTTTGATAACGTACGAAAGCAAAAGCATTACCAGTACCTGGTGGAGGCCGCTTTATATCAATATCATCAACAATACCGTATTTACCGAATATACGACGCAACTCTTCATCCGAAATATTTACTTCTAAATTACCAGCAAATAGAGTCCGTGTTGCAAGTGGGTCGTCTTCTGGTTGAACATGATGCAAATAATTAGGAAATTTGTCTTTCTTGCTTTCGGGCTTCTCATATGGAACATGTGGACGAGGTCCCATATGACGCATAGGTGCATACTGATGTGGTGGCGGTGGTCCATGCATATGTGGTGGCACACGATGCATTGGTGGTCCACGTGGGGGAAGTGGATATTCGTGATGAATTGGTCCACGATATTCCCGTGAACGTCCATGCGGATGCATGGGTGGCCCATAACGGTCATACGGATCGATCGGTGGTCGACGATGTTCTATTGGACCAGTCGGACCCATAGGCGAACGTGGATAATGATATCGATCGTAGTCAGGGGGAGTTATCGAACGTCCACGAGGCCTACAATTAAGAAATGAGATTAATAAAAAATTTATAACCAAAAAAGGTACACACAAACCTGTATTCATTATGTGAAGAAGATTCGTAAACTGGTTCCACCAATGCCATTTTATCATACAATACAATACGCGGCTTATGATGTTTTGCTTCACGTGCATCCTCAGACGTTCTAAAACAAACGTAAGCAACACGTTCGTCCAAATCATGAGATATGCGAATGCTGAAGTCACCGAATTTCTTGTATTCACGATACAATGTTTCTTTAATGAAATCGTCGGAAGCTTTAGGATGCAAAGCACTGACACATAGCACCTTGTACGTTGGTCTTTCCGCCACTGGTGGGGGCCCACGTAAATATTCTTCACGATGAGGTGAAACACCATAACGTGCTCGTGGACTTGGTGACCGACCTATCCGACGTCGTAGGCGATCTGGAGACATGCGTTCGGGAGAATCGCCTGGAACTCCGCTACCATTATCATAACCGCGACCCATTATAGTTCTACCGTGGGAAGATCTTCCTAAATGATTGCTCCTGGTTGGTGAATCTCCTGAAGCACTGCGTTTCATACTATGTAGTTAATAACAATATTCTTAATTTCAGTTGAGCTTCTATGAGTGCTCAAAAGAATGTGGCCCTACCTGTTGTAAAATTATTATTACTCTGAAAGGACTATTTATAGTTCAGCCTGTATGGAATTGAAAATTAGATTGTCATTAACACAATAACAAAGAAAGGATCCGTACTAATAATATAAACTAACCTAAAAAAATGGGCAGCTATACATAATTTTTTATTTTAATCTTTCCCAACTAAAAAATTTACGCACCGGCTTTTTATCATTTCTGAGTTATAACTAGAGATCTCATACCTGTTTATTCATAAAATTTACGATTTCAAAGCATAGAACGAAACCAAAAATTATGTATACTGGTGCACATACGTGTAGATGTACCTATGTACACACATCTCTGTATGTACTTACATTTGAAGTTAATAAAAGTGAGAAAAAAATTTTGGCGATACACAATTTTTGGATTTATGCTGCATAAATAATTATAAATTTAAAACATTATATTTCATTTAAAAATAGAATACACATTACTGAAACAGAGGGAACTGACCGCCAAAAACATCCGCCTAGAAAGAAATTTTCACTCTATATGCTTTACACTTAACCTACTAAACTCAACTCAAACTGCCGAATATTCAAAGAATTCGTCGAATATGCAAAGTCATTTTGCATAAAAATTTTGATTAAAATTGTTCCACTTATGATTTTATGTTTATTTTTAGTTATTAAACACTGAACTTATGTAAAATAGTAACGCTGAATAAAACTATATAAAAAATTTTCTGTATACTCGAATGAAAAGAATAAATTTCCAAAATGGCGTCAGTACTATGCACAACTTGAAAATATTTTAGCACACTATAGGTTTAAAATTAAAGAAAAACTCTAAATACATTTTTGCACTTTGCACTCACCGTTTATAAATTCACAAAATTTTTACAATTTTGTTGAAATTTTCCCACAAATATATAATATTTTACTCAAAACTCATACAGAGTATTAAAAACGACTTTACGCATTCATGAAGCCACCAGATTTGACGCAATAAATCACAGTGCTGCCATCATTAATTCAACAAATGCTGCCACATATCCAATAAAAGTTTAAATGTGCTGCCACCTATTATCTAAGTTGCAGCTTGCCAGATCATTTTTTAAGATATGTTATTAAAAAGTTTTTGACTAGTTTACTTAAAACTTTTTCTTCGCTTTGTGCAAACATTTGTTTTGTTGAATGTAGGCTTTTTATTAGAGAGAAATTCTATAAACAGAATGTGCTTCTGTAAACAGAATTTCTGCGAGGTATAACCTCTCAAGTGTATTAAGTAATATAAAATAAAATTTTTAACTTATTTGAGGAACGTAAGGATTTGCATCACCGTATTATATTACAATTTTTATACCATTAATTTGAAATTCGGCAACCCTATTTATCGGTCAAATGCCTGCATTTTATTATTTGTATTTTTAATGTGTTTATTTTATAAATAGTTTGACAAAAAGTTTTCATATATACAAAGAATGTATACTTATCAAAACGACGATGCGTAAATATCACCAGCTTTTGTTAGTTATAATTTCTTGTATTAGCATAATTGTCTTGCTTACATACAAGAGTGAAAATTCGCGTTTAAAAGATGTTCTAAGTGCTGTGCACTTCTTTAGCCGCAAGGATGCGGATGAATTGCGATTATTGAATAACTTCACAGCAGCGGAGGACGACATCATTGATTTTAATCGACCATTGCCAGTTTGGCAGCTGATAGGAGACTCCTTTCATGCATACGCCTCTTATTATCAACGCAATGATCTTGTGTCTTCCGGCGGAGAAGTTTTAACGCTTGTAACCGGTAAAACAGGAGCAGCAGTAAATTTTCGCTGTAAAGCACATTATGGTGACGGACGCGATATTCAAGGCAAATTCCGATTTCAACACTTGAATCAAGAAGATGACATAGTTGCTGCATTTACAAATTACGTATTTTATTGTCGTCTTAAAAATGACTTGGGAGAACCAAATAGCATAGTTTATAGCGATTTGACTGGTGATGGCAGTAATGCGAATCGCAAGTTACGTTTACGTTTTGTAAAAGGTGCACAAGGAAGTAATGTACCACAAACACAGTTGGCTATTTGCCTGGATTTGGTATCATTTAATATGAGCAGTAGTTTCGGCAAAAGTTATTCGAAATTATTTGAATTCTTTATACATCATTATGTTGTTGGCATCAACCACTTTATCGTTTACAATGGTGATGAACTAACCGAAATACTTTTACAAAAGCTTATGAAACATAAAAATATACATATACAATCGTTGCCTTTCAATTTCCCATTTGCAAACAACAAAAATAATACATCTAATTTGCGTGAACTCATTAAAACAGATTGCTTACTGCGTAGCATGCACAAAGCAAAATATGTTACCTTGCTCGAACCAAACGAATTTTTCTTTCCAAATGCCAAACTAAGTGACGACAATTCAGTACTATATTCATTGAATTCATATAGTACCTCTAAGACTATATATGAGTTACAAACATACTCAGTTTGTATTGATGGAAAGAATGAATTACTTTCAAATAATAGCTTTTATGATCCAGAAGTGGTGCAGCCACACAAGATAAACATTTTTAGACCCGTGGTCCCTTCTTCCTCTATAAGTAGTATTACTAATTTCTCTCCGTCATTAGCTTTTGCTCATAGATACACCGACTGCGTACATGTGGGAAATGATGGCCTACATATGTTGCAAAATTTGCTGCGTCAAGATTTCATGAATAATTTGATTAAAATTAGAAAAGAAGTACGAGAATTAATGTATAATTAAACTAGTGATAAAAAAATTGAATTTAGACTTATATTCAATTTCGTCTGCATTAATGATTAGCTACCTTGAGCATACCATTACTTTTAGAAATATGCATTAATGAAACTTATTACGACAACAATGTTATTTATTATTATTTCGTTTAAAAAGTGCTAAAGCGTTCATTTATTGAATAAATACTCATAAACACATTTATGTAGTTGCATTTTATTACTTTAATGTTATTTTTATCAATAAGTTGAAAAAATTGTATTCAGTGGGTATATAAGGTTTACAATTTAGTTCAGTCGCTGCATTATTGACGCATTTTTTAGACCAGCTAATTCAATCGTTGCAGCTTCATCCGTAAGTTCACGGGTTGGGAATGAGGACACTAACCTAAAATTACCCTCGGCATATTGTGGTCTGGCACTATAAAACAAATAATCAACAATTAGCAATGTAATTTTACAAAAGTTGTCTTTTTTACTTAATTATGTAGCGATGTATATCAGCAACTGTGTGATTGAGATTAAATTGGGCGGTTAAACGAGAACCGTCAGCTAGACGTATTTGCAACGTCGTTGTTGGCTGAGAAGAATCAATCTTAAGGTTTGCTTTAGCGGCGCTTTCATCTTCTTTAACATTAACAGCTGTTGTTGGTTTTGCAGTATTTGAAGCTGGTGTTGTGGATGCTGCTCCTTCAATGTTTGGTGTGGGACTAAAATATATAAATTAAGTTATAAGTAAATATAGGAAAGGTTTATTAATCACGGTAAGGTTTTTTACCTTCCCAGTGTGTGACCGGAACCTTTAAATTTAGGTGGGACTGTCTTCCTTTTATAATCCTCGTGGCGATGATCCTCCACGTCTACATTAACAACCCATCCCATTTCAAATAATTCGTGAGGTATTTCACTGAATGTATCAAATAAGTTTTTGGAGTCAGTTATTTGCAATAAAAGTATATATTTACCCGCGCATAACAGTTTCTAAGAACTCTTTATTTTCGGGATCATCATATAGACGTAGTTCACCATCATCAATGGAGAATCCTTGGCTCCATAATTTAAGTACAACAATAGGTCTTTTTTCTCCCGTTGCATTACCATCATCCTGTTGCGAACCTACGATGGAATGGTCTGTATCGGTCATGCCCAACCGTACACCTTGACCCCATTGTACAGCACCAGAAGTTGATTGACCGGTGGAAGTACTAGCAGATTCGCCGGTGTTGTGTTCTTGTGCCATTCGAAACATGTCAGTTAACTGTTCGCGGAAATTTTTACGTTTTGGTGGTCCCAAAACTTGCTGGCCTGAACGTTCCGAACCACCAGCATAAAACGCTTGTCCTTCTTCCTCGTTAGATGTACGCTTTGTCATATCATTTAATGTTGCTACTCTGATTAGATTATATATAAATACATATAAATTCAGGAACCAAAAATTAGCAATTGCATATATACTTTGGTTTATCTGAGCTTTTCTTAGTAAAACTGTCTGCGGCACCAGTTTCTGATCGCACCCGACTACTTGAATTTGTAGCTGCTGGTTCAATATTCGCTCCTCCTGAATTTCGTTCAGTTGGTTGTTCATCGTTTACACCCTCTCCATCAACTTGATTGCCAAGGAAATTAGAAAGTGCATCCTGAAATCATATTATATGGATGCATTAGAGCCGGATGAAAGTTCTTCAAGTTTTCTCACCTCTAGCGACCAATTGGAACTTGCTAAATAAAATCTGGCGACATTTTCATCTCCACCGCTTATTTCAATAAATTGTGCGATCAATTCATCGTTGTTAGACATATTTTTAGCATTCAAATCTTATTTTCTTCTCGCTGCACGGAATTAAGAAATTAAAACAATGATTTCACAGATTTAATACAAAATCAATTGAAGGTTGCCAGATTGTACTAACAAATGACAACACAATATGCTGCCATATATTTGATAGCCCTTAACGTCAAAAAACGGCATTTTTAATATTTTTAATTTCATCAATATTTATTTTATTAATACCATATATTTTATTTTTGAAAATTGTTTAGCATTTCTTTATTATCAAGTCATAAATGATCAGTATATTTTATTCGATATTTTTTAATGAAGTAATATCGATATCGAACTATGTAGCCAAACAGATAACGCCTATCCACTATTAGTATTTTAATTCACCATGATATTCAGTAATGCGACCATTTCGATTTTCAGCAGCTATTTGACAACGGATACATGTAACCGGAAAGTCCGTATGAAAGTCTGGTTAAAATTAGTAATTGCTTTGGCTTATTATTATTGTGACTAATTTATTTAATGGGCTTTTCATATTAAAAAAGTAATTTTCACCTATTTACTAGTGGCGTACAAAACATAACGTAACATACTGTGTTTTCTTGTTTCAAATGTATAATTTGCCTTCAGCATGCTGCATGTTTCGAAAGTATTACATACATATATGTATTAATTAATTATATATTTACTTATGAAACATATAAACATTGGCCTTTAACACCATATTACCTTTTGCGCTTAATTTCGTTTTACCATAATTCCGTACACTCATTCTTTAACACGTCAATTATTTGCTGAATAATTAACGGCACTATTTATTTATTACACAGTGAGTTATTTATATTTAATTCTATGAGCTTTAGCGAAAACATCCAGACTTCATCTCGCACCATATTTTATAGCCTAAACAGAGTATCTTAAGTTTGCCACTAATTTTGTAACACCCAGGGAATTTCAGATGCCAGCATGAAAAACAACAACCAATTGCCCTTGTATTCAAAACATTTTTATTTGATAAGATATTTTCACAAAATTTAGCATAATTATTATTCAAGGCATCGCTGCAATTCCCGCCGAAGTTATTCCGATGAAACCACCATAGCATATATGTATGTACATATTGCTGTCATACAAACCAATAGATCAAAATCTACTTCTTGTATGAAATCTTTAGTATTCGTAAAGGGTGTTATTTGTCATAAATGTCAAACAAGAATAGAAAGTCTAAAATAAAACTATATTGAGTTTTATTACATTTAAAATAACTTTACATGTTTAAATATACATATATATTTATATATAATATTAAATATCATTTTAGAAATATATTTAAGTCATCTCCTTACTTCAGCATTTATTACAGATAATTTTGTGTTTGTTTTATGCAAGAACATTTCTATCATTTCTTATCGTAATCACTCTGCAAAAGGATAAGCGTTTAAAAAACCATATGAACAAATATATATAAAAATTGAGTGTAAAATATCGTAAATGTATTTAAATTTTATTTATAACAAATGTATATAAAATATGCTTTATGCATGATGCGCTGACAAATACTTCTAAATATTCTAATCAAAGCGTGTTAGTTAACAACTAATCAAAATAAAGTAAAATTATTAATTATTTATTTGAATTCAATTTTTTAAAATGCATTTAGGTATGTACTTAGAAATACAATAAGCTGTATTCATAACAATTATTTATGGAAAATTACAACTACAAGAGAAATTAAGATTGTTGAGCCGTAGAGCAATCTAAATGTAATATCTATAGTATGTACATGTAACAAACACTGACACCGCAACGATGAAATGTTGAACGTCATAAAACATAAGTGTATACGATATAAACCCACCAATCAATGAGTAGGTATGTGGTGGCCATGGAGGCAATCACTGAATTAACGGACGTCAAGCAAGCTATTTTAGCGTGAAAACAATTTGCCCTTTAATGTGTTGATAATATTCATATTTTATATATTTCCATAAAGATGTAATGTGTATGAACGTGAGTGCAATCATTCCATTAATCAAACGTTTTGTGATGTGTAGTGTTTTAGTGTTTCGCAAAAATGAAATAGATAAATAAAACCGTAATTAGTACTACAATTGAGTAAATGAAGTTCGCTATAATTGATTAACTGAAGATAATTGTAATTACCTGTAAATAATGGGTGAAAAGTACTGTGAGGCCGATACCCAAACCGACCGCTAATAGATGTGACAGATAGAGCTTGGGGAATGGGCGACGTTTACGCAGCAGAATACCCAGTATCGTTGATTTGCGATCTGAATAAGGTGGATAACGACCGCTGAAATGGAAAATGTATTGGTAAATAGTAATTGTTAAAATTGAAATGACCTATTGCAAACTTACGATGCCAGTAGTTCACCAAGCGGATGCAGGTCCTTGCCAAGGCACGATTTCTTATGCGTGAATGTTTCAAAACCATATTTACCATGATAGCGTCCCATGCCACTGGATCCGACACCGCCAAATGGCAAAGTGTCAACTTTTATAGGGAAAAAGCGTATTATTTTGTTGATAAATATTGTTATTCAAGAAAGAAATGGACTCCGAGGAGTTTCAGTAATGGGAAAAACTTAAAAGTAATATTTTTTTTTTAAATAATCTTTATTAAATAATGGTTAAAGTGAGACTAAGCAAAATAAAGTAAAGTTATTAATTATGCATGCAAAAATTAAAGCAGTGCAAAATTGGAATAAATATATATAAATGGAGCTATGTATCAATAAATGTCAAGATATGTAAAGAAAATCTTGTAATTTGAAGCACGCAAACTTTTGAAAAAATATTTATAAATTATTGTATAACTCACATTTTTAGTAAAACAAGTGCGTAATTAAATTAATTAAGTTTAAATTAGCCAAAAATAATAATGGGATGAGAACCAAATACCTTTGGAAAATTTTTAGGAGAATATTTTTAAAGTAAAGCGTGTTATAATAAAGCAAGCGATAAAAGGATATATGTATATACATATACATATATGTATTTACTACATTTATGGGGTATTCTAGTCTAGAAATTTAAAAATAGTTTTTTTATTTTAATAATTCGATAGTTTAGATGTGCAAAACTATCTCACTAAAAGGATTTTTCAAAAAGTAGTTGTTAAGTATAGTCGTTTTAGAGCCGTGGCGACTGGATCGGTTTGAGTTACAACGTGTTTTTCTCGAAACTACTACTTTCATGCGGTCACTATATCTTCAGTTATAATCAGCCGATTTAATTGAAAAAATGGCATGATTGTTCGAACACATGAAGCAAAAAAGTATAATAAAATGAAATTTGTTCTATTTTTAAAAAATTCGGCAAAGTTAAAAAAAAAGTTGCGAAAAATTCGATCTTCATTTTTGAGTAGCCGCGATTTTACGAATTTCATATTAGTCTTTAATGAAGGCATTGTTTTATTATTCAGTAGACCGCAAGCGTAGAAATCACGGCGACGAGGACACCGCCATTTCGTCAATAACGCATAACTCAATGAAAACCAAATATTTCATTTGATTTAAACAAATTATAAAAAATTTATGGTAAAAACTTTTAATGCTCTTTTTATCAATTGACAAATAATGCTCGAAATTCGGACCTCTAGACTAGCATACCCTCTTAAATACTAAAATAATAAATGTTATTTTATTGGTTAATTTACAATATTTTAGTTTAATAATTCGATGCTATTAGTAAAAGCTTTAGTTCAAGTGCATTTGCATATGCTATTTTATTTTTTTTAAGTGAACAAATTGAAAATTTCATTTCCAAACACACAAAATTTAAAAATTGATTAAGTAGAAAAATTAAAAAATAATAATGGGATTAACTTTAACTATTTTAACTTTTTATGCGTATTTTTATAATTTATACATTAAATAGTAGATCATGTGCAAAATTTTGCACGTAAATACCTCCAACGTGCAATATGGTCTCATTACTGCAAAATCCGCCGCTTGTTGTGTTTTGTTTAAATTCTTTAACTACATTCGAATTTGTGGAGAAAACGTAGATGACTAAAGGCTTCTCCCTATTTTACGAAAATTCACATTTTACAGTTAAATAAGGCTACAAAAATGTACACACATAACTTATTAAGTGAGTTTTCAAGTACAATGTGATTTGCACGTTTGTGTACTGATGAGGATGCTTATGACAAATTTCTATATTTTGACCGAAAGTAACAATGCACATATGTATATGTATGTGTGAAAAATAATTATAAAACGTACATAAGTCTAAGAGTTCTTCAAAAAACTTACTATTTTAAAGAAAAAAATTAAACAAATCAAAATAAAATCAAAAGAATAAATTAAATTTTGAGTTTGTAGTGATTTAATATGTAAGTTATTACTTAGTTTTTAGCTTCAAATATTCTTTGATAACTGTTGGAGGGATATCATAACCAATTGCTTTACAATTACTAGCGCTGAAATAGGCTTATCGAAAGAGCAGCTATCAGCGGTAACTTAGAACGAAGTTTTCAAATTTACACAAATTTAGTAGCACCAACTCCAATTTAGTTTAGATTTTTACAAGTTTAGAACAAATATGGTTCATTTCTACACACAAGCATTCATTCAATAGCAGACAAACTAATTATTTCACCCAAGCACCGTATAGTACATACCTACATACATACACATAAATTACCGCTATAATTACAGTAGGAATTGAAATATATTTACAAAAGGGTTTGCATTATTTAAATTATAGCACACGTAGGAGTTTAACGCGCCAACACCATCACTTTGCACCACTTTGGAAATGCATTTAGCTGTACAAATTAATAGGAAAATAAACGGGCAACTTAACAAGTTGACATTGACTGACACACTTTGCATTGCCCGTGTGCGGGTAGACACAGTTTAAGGGAGTCGTTGTAGGATTTATTCTCTGTTTTGCTGCTTCAATACAATTCGCTTACCAGCATAATGCATTATAGTGTCATTCATACACATTCCGCCCGATTGGATGTCGCGTTTAAATAAATTTTGTACCTCAGCCTCCGCTGTGAATATATACGCGCAAAGTGGTGCTTCTCTGTGTATGTTTTTATGCCAATTTGTGTGTTGCAAGGTGTGTAATTATGTTTATTTTATTTTATTACATTTTTTTTTTTTTGTTTTATACATTTTCAATTTGGACGTACACAAATGTAGGTGGAGACATTTTATTTGACGTTGCGAAAATAAATGAATATAATAAAAAATTAATAAATGAATATCAAATGAATATCAAATGAATAATGTGACATTTAAGAAGAAATTTGGTCATAACCATATACTTATAAATTGGAAATATCGCACACCCAAAATTATTATAGTCATTTGCGATAGATACTTGTGAGTCATTTTGCACTCTACAAATTCGAGCAGACAATTTATTAATTGATCTGTAGTTTCATGTAGACAATTCTAACTAGAAAATAGAAATTTTAACCTTCTTATAGGATAAATAGGTATATTTTCCCCAAAGAAAAGAAGTTGAACTCAATTCAAACAATATGCTTTCAATGGCATGTGGTATATTTATAGCCTGAATGGGTATATTAAGTTTGCCACTAAGTTTGTAATACTGAGAGGAAAACATCGGAGTTCCTGTAAAGAATATGCAGTTGAACTTCCCTAACTCGAATCACCATAATCTACAAAAAATCTTCGAGTTAGAGTGACTTCGAGTTATGGAAGGAAATTTTTATGAAATTTGACTTCTATTGACTTGCCTATTGCCAAAGTTATGAACAACTTCGAATTATGGAAATTCAACTGTATTATAAATAGTTTCATAGTTTCTGAGATACCGTTCTGAAATTTTGCACACGTAATTTTCTCCCCAAGAATCTGCTCATTTGTCGCAACCGTCGATTTTTTATTACTATAGCAGATATACAATCTGGAAAATTTTTTAAATAAAAAGATATCTTTACGAAATTTGGTACACATTATTGTCCAGGAAAACGCTATAATATTTAAATGTATTGTTCAGATCGGACCACCATGGCTTATTGCTACCTTATAAACTGATCGATCAAAATCAAGTTCTTGTATGAAAACTTTTTTATTTGACAAAAATTTTTCACAGGTTATTGTCCAAGGAAACGACGACAATATAACCAATATTTTTATTGTTTTTTTTTTTTCAATTAAAAAATATCAATAATACTCATTCATCAGTAGTTAGGTATGACTATAAAAAATTGTATTCGAATACTTTAATTATGCCGTTTAGAATTAATTTTTAAAGTTATCACCGCTAATTATCTATTTCAGCTTAATAAATTCGAAAATAATAAAACGTGTATACGAAGAAATTGTAGCGATTGATGATTTTCTTAATCGAACCTTTATAAACACGTCATAATCTTGTTTATGATTTTTTAAATCCAAATACTTATTTTCATATCTCTAAAAAAGTAGTAAAAAAAAAGTAGATTTGGTGTGCGATAACAATGAACAAAAGTACAGTACAAAGTCGAAGTTCCAGAGTGATCATAAAAAGATACACAAATCTTTCTGCATTAATAGTGCACAATATTACTTTCATGACACCATACTTAATTGTATGCGTTTTTTTTTATTTGTTTTTTTTTTTTTGTTTGCTGTTTTTGTGGCAATGTGTTTGCTTACCTGGAATTGATGAATTTGATTGCATCGTAGGCATTTTCAACTGTGAATATGGGCAAAAGTGGGCCGAAAATCTCCTCTTGCATAATAGGATCATCAGCTTTAACATCTGTTAATATTGTGGGCTCAATGAAACGTTCTGAGGCATCATAATTACCACCAACAGCGACTTTGCCGCTTTTCATTAGACCAAGCAGGCGTCTAAAGTTTGAATTAAAAGAAGTTTTATTAGAAAAATATGCACACATAATTATGTGTTTGTATTTATTCACTGGAAATTATTATGATTGATAATTCGACTGAGATCTGGACTGCTCTTAATATCTTCGCCATACCACTCTTTGAGCACGTCTTTTGCTTCGGCAATGAGTTTCTCTTGTATTTCTTTCGAGCACAGCACATAATCGGGCGCTATACACGTTTGACCGCAATTGATCAATTTGCCCCAGAGTATGCGTTTCACAGCCGTACGCAGTTCAACGGATTTATCAATGTAACAGGGACTAAAAGAGAGAAGTGTTAGAAGACAAACTATAAAAATATATATTTATGCGAATTAATGTATTAAAATGGCCTCACCTTTTACCACCCAATTCGAGTGTTACCGGCGTCAAATACTTATTGGCGGCAGCGTGTATAATTTTGCCAACTCTTGTTGAGCCTGTATAGAAAATGTAATCGAAACGTTGCTTCAGCAATTCAGCCGTTTCGGTTGGACCACCGCACACAACTGGATAGCAGTCCTGTTTGGATTAGAATAAAGTGAAATTTTAGTGTAAATATTTAGCGCAATGGAACAAAATTTTTCGAAGCGGAGTAATTTCTACTTGATCTGAATTTCAGTTGAAATTACTGTACCTTTAGACAATGAGACTAAAATTGTAATATAGTTTAATTGTAAGATATTCTTATACAATACTATGCTTACATTATCCAAATATTTTGGCACCATCTCCGTAATAAATTTGGCGCAGTTGGTAGAAATTTCACTTGGTTTGAGCACAACGCAGTTGCCAGCAGCTATGGCAGCTGCAACTGGTACCAACAACAGTTGTAGTGGATAATTCCATGCGCCGATCACCAGGACCACACCATAGGGATCATTGAAAATTTGCACATCGTCCAGTAGATTAACAAATGATTTTTCCGGCTATTATAAAATTTGTGTTATAACAACGAAAGGATAAGTCGCTACTATGTAGTACACACCGTTTCGGGTTTAACCCAATCTCCCAAATTGTATAGTATGTGTTTGATGTCATTTTTAAGAAACTCTGTCTCTACCACCAAACTTTCTTGCTTCGGGCGTCTCAAATCTGCATCGAGCGCGCTAATCATCTCATTTTCATGTTCTTCATACATTCTCAGTAGATTCTCCAACTGTTTTCGCCTAGAATGGATCAAATTACTCAAGTGAAATAAACTATTATATTTTCGAGGTTTTTTAAAAGTTGATAGGGCAGGACCAAAGAGGCAGTTGCTTTTCCCCGCATGACACTAATCACCTCTTTGCATGCCTTGCTAACCCTACACATCTGACACCCCTCAAATTTGCTTCCGGAACTATTCATTATGTTGTTTTTGTACTAGTATAAATAACTTAATAAAAATTGTAATTAACCCTTCTTAAAGTATTACACTCGTACAGTACAAGATCGGGGACATATGTATGTACGTATGGACATATTTATGTATGAACCTAGCTTGAGTATTAGAGATTCATTCATTTCATTATTGTGTTCGGTATGAACTTTTGGAGACTCTGTGAATGGATAAAGATAAGGAAGTATTATAGTCTAGATATAAAAAAATCGATTATATATATTTTTTTTCAAGTTTAACAATGAAATGAAGTCGTCTACGCCGGGAACTGGCCAAATCACCAAATTTAAATTTTTATTATTTAAAAAAATTCTAAACAGTTAAAACATTCTTTAAGTCATGATATTTATGCATCATTCCATAATTTTCCCTCGAAAAAATTCTCTTTTATGCAACTTTTTGATAAAGTTAATTACCTTTCACTCTTCTTAATTCAAAATTTAACTACTGTCAAATAATAATTACAGTATAATAACCTTTATAAAATAACCAAAAATTTTCGCGTTAAAATTATATTTTTAAACAGTCGCTATAAATGACTAATAATCTGAACTGCAACCTGGACTTTTTCTCTAACCCAAACGAGTTTTTATTCATATGTACATTAGAGCAGGTCAAGTCAACGGTGAAAAAATGCTCAAAAAAAATCGCATACGCGGGTAATATTCACTGGATCATTCTAAACAACTTTGTCTAAGAAACTATGCGTCTAAAACAGATTTCCAGCCAGCGACTTTTAACGAAAAAAAAAATTGTTCGTCAGTTTTTGGGATATCCGAATGAAAGTTAATGATACGATTATTTGGATTTTTTAAACTTTGACTTGAGAATCACTTACTAAAAACCGGTTTCAGATCCTTAAGTCTAAAAAATTGTTCAGATTGATCCGTAGAAAATTTCCCGCATACGTGGTTTTATAGAAAAAAAAAAAAAAAATCGACCCGATCTAATGTACATACATATGTATGTACTATGTATGTATGAGCAATTTTTTTAGCAACACAAAGAGGGAGTTGAATAATAATTTGCTGTGATCCTGAAAATGCCTTAATATGAACTTGTATGCCCTTACACAATTTTTCATATGTATGTATGTATGTAGAACAGACATACAATACTTATATAAACATGTACACATATGTATGTATTTCTCGAATTTGGACAATTCAACTCTCAGCACGAAAATTATAAAAGAAAAAAAAAAAACAACAGCTGATTTAAATGACTCCACTTTATATGTGCACACATATGTTAACAAACATATCTACATAAATACCTGCAAGTACATATATGTAGTTTAGTCGAAAACGGTATCTGACCAGAGACAAAAAAAAAAAACAGCAGTGTTAAATGGCAAATGGCAAGGTCAATGTTAAGTTTATAATAATAGATATATAAAAAAGCGCATAATTAACATATGCAAAAGAAACCGTTGAATTTGCATGAGCACACTTATTATCATACTGTATGTGCATTATCCTATTTATTTATAAGTAACCCGGACTCAACCTTTGCAATTTAGGTTTCAAATGATCTTACACCAGACAGGAGGTCAATAAGCCTACTGAAAATGCAAACAAAGGGCAGATAAAAGGCACATATATACAAATATACAAACTTAGAATAAAAACTCCAAAATATTGTACTAGTCGGAAAATTTACTCATTTTGTATAGTACTTTGCATTAAAATATAAACTGACAAAATATATGGAAATATGCAGAAAACTGAACTGTCATTAGAAACATATAATATTTTGTTGTTAGATGTTACTAATAGAGTTTTATTTAATTGGAATTGCCAACATATCACACCTTATTTATTAGTTATTCAAATATTTTAAAATTATCCCATATTTCCAAAAATGTGTGGAATTTATACCAAAATTTACATAAAAGCGGTTGTTGTAGTGAATTCTAATGATCGAGTTTTAATTTTCTTTTGAAACATACATATGTATCTATTTAGAGGTAACGTAGCTATAAAAATTGTAAAAAGTAATTCAATAAAACCGCTTTGGTTGATTTTTTTTTATCTCAGAGTAAGAATATTAAGTTTGCCACAAAATTTGTAACACCCAAGACGAAACATCATTGACCCTATAAAAATATGTATGTAATATAACTGATCGGCGTGACTTTTGGAATACCGATCTGAAATTTTCCACAAATCCTATTTTCACCAAAAAGCTGTTCACCAGTCGGAAATGCCGATATTGGGCTACTATAGATATAGCTGATGTACTGACTGCTCAAAATCTAGTTTTGCATGGAAAACTTTTTCATTTCACGAGTTATTTTCGCGAAATTTGGCATGAATTATTATCCAAAACATTGCTACAACATACGAAGACATTTTTAGATCGGACTACCATAGTATATGTATATGTAGCTGCCTTACAAATTGATCAATCAAAATCATGTTTTTATTATTTATTACTAAGACATATCAGTTTTCACTTAGATTATGCTCCCGGATCTTTGAATCCAATAACGTTTTACGTCGTATATACATTAAGATATTAAATGAAAAAAAAAAAATCATAGTATCAATAATAAATATAAATTAAATAAAGCTAGATTCTACAATAAAAAAAATGCACAATTATAAAAATGTACGTTTTTTATTTCATATTACTTATTGGAATAACGTTGCATTGATATATAATGCACGTAATATGTACGTTTGTAGGAACTAAAGATTGACGTTTAGCTAAATATTGTATTCAGTGCATATCAGTAATAAGTACTTATGTATGTATGTTTGTATGTACTATATGTACATTTATAAATCCATTGTTATCTGTCGGGTAAAATATTATATGTACATTGACTACATGTGTCCGGACGGGTACATATGCACATACTTAGGTAACTGCAAATGAAAATAAAACATTCATAAAGGAATAGCTGTGCTGATTTAATTCAGAGAAATAAATAATGATGATGCAGCATTATTAATAAAATAATTAACATAATCATATGACTATATTTTTCTAATCTATAAATCTATGCGAACGTTTACCACACATATTATTATAAGTACTATATGTTTATACATACATATGTATATAGATAGATTGATAACTACCATAGTAACTTTGCAAACATTTAAATAGTATATAAATATACATATGTGCACACAAAGTACGTACATATATATGTACATGCATATATACAGATATAGGTACGGACGCGTTTCTGTTCTTGCATTAATCTATAATTTTTTTCTCAAACATTTCTGAAAATCTTGAAAACATTAATTGCAAACCTTGAGCAAAAGAAGCGGCAGTAAAGAAATAGATAACAACAAAAAAAGAACAAAAAGCAGCAAACCGTATTTTATAATACTTCCGTTAGTTAGATTTCCAAATGTCATGCGAATTCTTTGACGCCTTGCTTGGCTGACGCTTTTAATTATGGAATCTCTTGAAACTGATAATTTGGTCAAAACGTGATAAATGCTATACTAAGCAAAAGGCATAATAACTAAAAATGTTATATACATATGTACATATGTATAAATGTATATCTATACTATATACATATGTATAATATATGCATATACCAAATACTCCAAATTTTTAATTTAATTATTAGCAGGAATTCGAAAATGTGTGTGTAAATAAAGGTACATATGTACATACATAATTTATTTACCTTTATGTACCTTTGTGCGTACATACATACGTATGTATCTATGCTTAAAGACTGAATGTGATAAGCATGAATGCACACGTTTTTGATTTCATGTACACAGATACATACATACATATGTATAAATGTACATATGTTAGTAAGAGAATTTTATTACAAGTATGTATATGAAAATTTTTAGATCAGCCGTGTGAAAGTGCATACAGTGTATTCACTGAAATACATTTGTATGTATATAAAAAGTCAGCAGAACAGTTGCAATAACTATAACTTTTAATGGACTTGTTTGTCGAACTTGGTGTCAATTAAACGAGCTTATTAAATTTAATAAAAACTAGTTGTTCTTCCTATGAATTTATAGAAAAACTAATTGCAAAAGGTATTTAAATGCAAACTAATAGATGTAATTACCGATAATTATTATTAATTACTCGAATGACCGTAAGCATTTCTTAAACATAAACATACGATTTAATATACCCACGTACATATTATATGTATGTGTGTATGTATGTTGGTATGTGCAATTATTATTAGCAGCTGTTTTTCTATTACTATTATTATACGAAATATGAAACTATTGACTTGATTGTTTGTTATTGTAACTGCATAATGACTGTTTGCTCAATGCCTGATTAGAAAACATCCATCACTTAAGTTCTGCTTAACCTTAACGAAAAAAGGAGTCTTGGTTAACCATTGAGGAAACTTTCTCCAAACAGCTTTGTGCTAATGCTGTTACAGTTCCGATTATAAAGAACTGGTTTCTCATAAAATAGAAATCGATCAACTGTAAACAGCTTAAAAACTTGTTAATTTTTGATTTTTAGAATGAAGGATAAACATTGCCATTTTGTTAAAGGTTTTCAATGCCTCATTGCTGTCATTGAAAAAATTTGCACATTTTACATACATACGCATGCATAAACAGTAATACATATGTACATCCATATAAATTCAACTAGTTGATTAAGTACATAATTTTTGTGAGTGGATATTTGCAGAATGCCGGTTAATGTTCAAATGTTTACATAAGTCATACATATATATTTAATTGACATTCGCATAAACTAGTACTACCATACGTACGTAAAACACGTTGTAACAATTAAAAATATTGAAATACTAGTTTTGTAACTACTTTAAGGCAATTAATATGCTTTCAAACATACCTACAACGAATTCTGCAACCACCACTTATGAATAGACTTTGTACACTTTTAGTAGGTAATTGGAGTTTATTTTTATTTTTATCATACTTACATATGTATATGTATAGCAAAGTAATTGCATGATGTATCACATACAAACATACATACTTATATATATTCCAAAAATAAAAAATACATTGGCGTGTAGATATGCATTAGGGCGGGTCCAAATTTTATAAGATATTAGATATTGAAGTTTCACTTTTTTTCAGACAATTTTGTTTTTAAACTTTGCATTTTAAAACTCAACGAAAAAAAGTTTTTTGCGAAGTTCGATCTATGGTCCGTATATGGTAAAATTTTTCGATTAACTTAAGCGTTTACAGAATATTTATCGTCACACATTGATGCCTATCACGAAAAAAAAAAACAGAGGGCAATTTTGTAGAGCAGTATATTTCCTATAAGACTATGAATTTTTCAACTAAAAATGATTTTGTTCGTTGAGTTATATACTTAAAAAAAAAAATCCTTAAAAAAATCAAACTTATTTTCCGTTATTAATGCGTTTATAAGATTAGTTAGTGTGAAACCGTCAGTTGCAATATATATTTAACTTTATTCTTGATTTGTACTAAGAAAGTAACTCTATTAATATAAAACAAAACATCCTTAACTTAGATTGCACGGAAGCTGTAATAACCTTCACACATATAATTGTATTGATCCGTTTGTATGTCAGCTATATGCTATAGTTATCCGATTTGAACAATTTTCCGCAGTTTGCTTAAATAAAAGCTTTTCATACAAGGACTTGATAGTTTATTTTGTATTGTAACGGTCCGATATTGGCAGTTTCGAAAAAAAACTGAGGAATTTACAGACAGAGCATATGTATTTCTTGCCGTCTCTAATATTTGTGAATATTTAACAAAATTTAGTTATAAACTTAAGGGCCTCTAAACAAACTGTTTGCACTAAACACTTATTAATTCAAAAACAAATCCCCGCACAATCAGAATTAATAAACAAAAAACATAAACGATAGAAAATTTGGGGAAATACTCAATTAAAAAACGTTAGTATATTTTTGGAGTTTACTGCTATATTGTAATCACAATTGCAAGAAATTATTTTAGTGACATTAATAAATAATAATTTACTTTTTACTTCTATGTACTACATTTGTACATACATATATGAAATTTATTAGACGTACATACATACATATGTATATTGTCATGTATAATAAAATTGCATTGCTACATTTGAATCCCATAATACTTATGTCCTTACTTAGAGTACAAAAGAAACTTTAACTTGTGAATAGTACGATTTACACAAACAGCAGCTAACCAAGGAACTAATACAAAAAATTATTATTTTCACATTTTTTAAATCGAGGCAAACTTTCGACTGAACTGAAAAAATGGGGTCCTCTACTGAATTTGGGCGTGACAGCTGTAATACCGCTTATTTCTTTACAACTTATAGTTTAATAGTCAAGCAATTAATGAATGTTTTTTTTATCTTTTTACTTCAAGTAATGGCAATTCGTAACAAGTAAACATTTCATATGGCTCACCTGAAATTGACATCTTTTGTTTTTCCACTGGCGAATGCAGTACGGCATCTTTGTACGATCTGTGTTTAATTTGTGATTTGAGTGTTTTTATGTAAATATATTTTTGTAGATCCATTGTTTAGATTTAGGCATTTTCACATAGGTATGAAAATAAAATACAAATTATGAATAAAACAAAACGTATGTATGTACGGAGCTATATGTATACTTTAAATCACAATTCAATATATTGAATATTAACCAAAAATATATAAGAAAAGCACTCACATCTTCAAAATTTGCCATTTTGTTGAACTGTTCGTTATCGGCACCGATTGCGTTATCTGCAAATAAAAGCAATATAGCAGTATTTCTTTTTTTTATTACTTCTCTACAACAACAGAAAAACTTTCTTTGTCGTTTGACAACAATGTAGTTATTATTAACACAGCAAAAAATACAAATAATTGTGTGTACATGCAAAAGTTTAAGTTTCACACCTTTTTTACACAATAGTTCAATATTCTTAACACAAAGTAAGCACCTTTGTTTAGTAATAAACACACTAGTTACTTTCAATTAGATAATACTAATATTCAAAGTATGAAATGGAAAGGAATCGGCAGACCGCAAATGTATGTATATATTTATATGTATGTAAACATAAAAAACAGCGCACGGTGATGAAATGTTATAAAAAAAATCGAGTGACCGTTCGGACGATTTCTACTACCGTACACGAGTAGATTAAAAAAACAAATGCTAACTAGTCCAATTGGAAAACTCCTCCACTACTGCTACTCGTTGAACGAATAAACAGCTGAGTATGCACAGTGTTGCCATGTCTAGTATAAACAAATGAATAAAATCAAATTACTTTAATTGACAAGCGCGTCTTGAAATTCCTCAAGCTCTCTTAAGCGAGTAGCGTATTTTTTAGCGCGCTATTTGTGCGTCTCTGTTTTTATATATGTGGGTGTATTTTATTTGCAATTAAGAGATAATATTGTAGCTATTAATTGTTTTTTCTAAATTAATAACAATTTCCATATATATATTATAACTTATGATATTTGATGGAGTATGAGCTTCTATTATAAGAAAAGAATTTGTTTTCTTATAAGCAATTATTTACTGTTATTAATTACGAATATCAGAAATTCAAAGGAGACGAACGGTTTTATAAACCTGTTATGATATTTAGTTCGATAGCCATTTTATAAAATGGTGGAAAGCTGGAGTGGCTTTTCTATTGTTAGAACGGTGAGTTTTAATAGTTCCAACTGGATGTTATTAATAAGCAGCAAAACATTAATTCTATAAGTTCTTAGGTGTATTCGAACGATTAGTAGGCTTATGTACATATGTATATGTATGTAAAAATATTAAAAACGGAGGTCATTGAGTGGCTGTCATATTATAGCAACAAAAAACTCCGAATGAATGCAACAACGTAATTTAATTATTATACAAATTAATATTTAATTGCTTCTAAATATTTGTATGTAGTTTTAATTGGATTCGATTAAAGATCCAATTTACGTACACACATATGTATGTATGTATGTGTATATGATAAGTTCCGTTTTAGAGTAGTTAAATTATACAAAGAAGCTAATATATGTATGTACATATATTTCTCCTAATTTTTTAGAAATAATATAAAGGAAACTATAACACAGAATTATACTTGTATCATGTAAGTGGTTGAACTAATTTTACATACATATGTATGTATGTATGTATATTACATATTATTGCGCTATAAATATACATACATACATACGCATATGGAAGTCCTTATATATATTGAATATTTAAAACATGAAAAGAAATTAGTTTTCTTAATATCGAAGTCATAATATCCTACAAATAAAAAAGTTTCCTAGGTAAGAAATAGATTTTATTATAGTGGTCTGATATCGGCGGAGCATAGCATAGCCACTAAAACCTATTATTAGCCGAATTATAATGATAAATATGAAAATTAATATAGAATTATTTCGATTTAAGCTTAATGAAATATTTTTATACATTTAAAAAAATATGCTGAGAAATTTCAATAACCTTGGACATATTCTGAAATTTTTATAGATACATATCTATTTCATATACTGCACTATTGTGGGAGAAAGTGGGAGTTATGAAACGATTTCACCTGATTATGCCAAGTAAAGCAATTTTATATAATTTTATTAAAATACCTCGTATACTGACCAATAATATAAGGTATGTAATCTGATGGCAGGTCTGAATTAAATTTATTTGGTATAAGGGAGAACGGGGAATACATATGTATACCGTAAATACTTTAAAAGTGGCTAGTTTCCAAGGTCACTGAGCTCGTAGCGACAGAAGCCATTCTCCAAATTACTTCATTAAAATATAACGTATGCTGACCAAATAATTTAAGATACAAAGTCTGATGGACGACCTGAGTTAATAGGATTCTGTATAAGTGAGATTGGGGAAGATATGGTATAGACCGACTTTATAAAGTGAACTGAGCGGAAAAAAGCCGTTACATTTGAAGGTCACTAAGTCTCCAAATAAATTTTACAAAGTGTTGAAAGTGAGTAGTGACAAGAAAGAAAAAATGTTATGAAAGCTGCCAAGTAGACATGTCTTGGCAGAAATATTTTCAGTTTTCGTTTAATTTATAGATATTTTATATTACTCAATAAATGTTATGTTGTAATGTGCTTGTTTGTAAACAACTGTGCAATACTCACCAATTTCAATAATAGCGGCGCCATCATTTTCAATGTTAATACGACTTTTCCCAGGTCCTGTAAAATAATTTTTTTTTTATTTATTGGATGAAAGTGCAAAGTAACGATCGTATTTTACCATTATTATTATTATTATTCGGTATCAGTATTGTTGTAGATGATACAAACAGTTTCTCAGAGTTACCTGCATCTACATCCGCTCTCATTTTCGATATAATGCAAATAATATAATTCGGTTAACTGGGTCTGAAAATGAGAAAATACACTTGACATAAATGGTTTTATACTTATAGTAATATTTAGTGAATTATAAAAAAATTAAAAAAAAATTAATAAATAATAAACTAAAAAAATATTATTCAATATAATATCATGTGTTAAAGTTAAATTAAAATCAAATATTACATTACTTGGTTCAGCCATAAGTAACACATTTTTTAATAATTCTAATGAAATTTTTTACTTGCAACTCAAAGTCTTCTGGTCCTGGTTAGGCGTTATCATGCCAAAATATTTATTTTTAATTTTTTTCCTTTAATATTTCAAACAAACAGATACAGTCCACTAATTTTAAATAATAACTTCTTTCCTTCGACAAAATGTTCAAATATCATTGAACAGTTACTGCAAACATGAATGTTTTTTAATAAAGAAAACGGAAT